AACTTTAAAGCCTATGTATGCGAAGAGGAAGTTTTTAAAAAAGATCTATTAGTATGTTTTGATTTTAGGAATGTTTTTAAAGAAAAGCTTAAGGTTTTAAAATGGTTGACAAAGAAGTATTTTTCCCTTTAAGGTTAAATAATCTGAAAGAATACAGGGAATCTTGTTAATATAAATGATGATAGTTGATAAAGATTATTAAGTGCAAATAGAAATACGTATTATTTGCAAAGCAAGGAAGATGAAGCAGAAATGCTTAAATTGATTGATTCAAAGAGGAGAATATATTTAATTATGTTTTTGATTTGGATATCACTTCTGGATGTTGTGTTTGTGGTGGAAAAATACATATGAAACTTCGACTTTGGTTATGCTGATTAGATACATTAGTTGTTACAGAAATGGCTAGTTATATTCCAATATATACAATTAAAAAGGCCATAATGATGTTACATACTGTGCTAAAAAGAGTCAGAAGTCAATGCCTTTTTCTTTCTTTCCTTGTACCTCATATTTTTCTTTCCCCCTCTCTTTTTTCTTCCCTTAATTTCCTATTCCTATTTTTCTTTGTATTTTATACACTGATAAAATGTTTCTTCCTCCCTCAACTCTCTCTCCTCAAAAGTATTCTCACCAAAACCTGACAGAAGCCTCCCACCCCTTTCTCTGCCTATTCTTCCCTCAGTCGAAACTCCAGGTTTCCCCCCCCCCCACACACACACACACATTAGGCAAATGTTAAAACTCTGGTTTTCTGATGCTTTGTTGATAGCTTTTGTTCTATGCAGAATAAAGCTAGCGCCCTAACCCCGCAATCCTGGGGTCACTATGAGAGGGGATCCCATCTGAGATTACATCAGAATCCCTGGCACAGAAGTGATCTTCCCATTTTCCTGCAGATGTTTGTGGTGTTAGGACTACAACATCTGTCTTTAAGGCACCAATGGATTAAATGCCAAATCCAAATGGAGTTCATACATTTTGCTGCTGGAATTAAATTCCTCCAATTCTTTCTTATAGCCTGAGTTTTCTTTATCTTCAAAAGGTCTTTTATATTTTTCCAGAACCTTGGCTAACTGGGAAGCCCTCAAAGGATTTTCATCATGAAAGGAGGTTATTGCAAGAAGCTTGGAAGAAGAGGGTGGGAGGAGGAGGAGGAGGAGGAGGAGGAGAACACTTCTGGCCTGCTCCCATGAAAACTGTAGAATTGTGTCCAAGAGTTGACCTGCAACAGGCAGGGTGCTGAAGAGCAGAAACAAAGGGAACTATAATGGTTGAAAGCACTTTGGGAAACATGAGCTTCCCTGCAACTAAGATGAACCTTGGAGAATCTGGTTGTTGTTAGTCCTGGAGGATGACAAGCCCACCAAAGGGGACAGTCACAAACATTTGCATCTTAATAAGAAAGACATGGTCATATTTATTTTTATAAGCAGTTTTATTTAAATATATTTTAAATAGAGCTATTGTTCCAAATACATATTTCACAGATAACATAATATTTTAAATCACAATTTAATTAGACATAAAAGTGTGCAAAGGGAAAAAAAACACTACCAGAGACTTCAAGGAAAAAATTCCTTGAGTTTTCCAGATTAGGGTGGGAAGATATGTAAGATTTAAGAGAAGCCCCCACTGCCAATAACTGCCAATAACAATAAAATAAGCTCAAGTTAAGGCAAGTTTGAAACAAACCCATAAGCATTCTGAAAAGAAGACAGAAGAACATCTTTATTTACAGTAGTCAAACAGTTGAGAAATTGCAAGGCAAATTTCAATGCAGTTGATCTGCATTTTAACTTGAGAGTTTTGACCAGACTAGCAATTTGCAATTTGCTTCTAACAGTCCTATAGGCCTGGAGGAAAAACTATAAGGGAATAGCAGAGGCTAAGAAGAGAATTAGAATCCTACTTTTCACCTGCAAGTATTCTTTTTCTCCAACACACTGTTTTTCCCACGAAAAATCCTCAGTTCTGAAGATGACACGCATGTGAGATATATACTAATGAACACTAATATTCTAATCGGTATAGACTAGAAAATCCAATCTCATGGATAAGTCTGTAGTAGTCCTCAATTTACAATTATTCTTTCAGCAATTTGAAATTACAGTGATTCTGAATGGGGGGTTATGACGTATTTGGAATTCCCTTCCCAACCAGCACTTCTTGTACAGCCTTGCTTTATTATCACACCACTCAGCGATGGAAATTTTGGTCTCAGTTGCCATTGTAAATTGAGGGCTATCCTTTATTTAAGTTCAAATATCCCTTCCTCTTCTGATCTAGTGATCAATCTTGCTAAATTTAGATACAGGAAAGGGTAGGTTGTTGACAACTGTCACCCAGACAGTATATATGCTCCCTCACTCCTAACAGAAATGATTATTTCTATCTGATTCCAAAATTGAACTTGAGATTTCCTACATGTAATTTATGTATGCACACAAACCTAAAATTAAAAAGCAATATATTTAAATCTATTAAAACAGCCAAAATCCTAGATGTGTTCCAAAATCCACAAGATGTCAGTGTTCTACAATGAAATAATGAGAGCATGCAAAGTTTTGGCATTCATATATAAGAACATGTAAAAAGTTGAAATCTTTTAAGATTTTGCAACCTTGTATAATTCCAATTCATTTTTTAAAAATATAACATACTTAAAGAGACTGTCCATACTTCCTCTAGAATAAGATAATGCCATTCAAAGAGAAGGGATGGAACAGGTACAATCAGTACAGATAAGGCACATTTTATGGTGATTTCCACATGTCACACTGGGCTATTTCTGGTGCAGAGGACATGCAGTGGAGAACAATGTCCCATGCACTTCAGAAATGCCCATGTTTCTTCGTTCATCAGGCAATGTTGGTTTTCATGCCAAGTGCATACCTCTCCATGCCTTGTTATATCTTGACCAATGATTATGCTGCTTAGAAAATTCTAAGTGTCAAATCTATCTCTCTGACCATTTGAAGGCACCAACTTAGAAAGCTATTTACAGTATGGAATTCTAATTGTAATTAATTGTAATTGTAATTGCTTGTAAGTTGTTGTGCTCAAACATTGGAAGCTTTTAAGAAGAGATTAGACAACTATTTGTCTGGAATGGTATATGGTTTCTTGCCTGAGCAGGGGTTTCGACTAGAAGACCTCCAAGGTCCCTTCCAACTATTATTCTGATTGGCAAATTGACCCAACTGCCTTCCAGCTGAAAATTCTAATGCTGTCCTGGTCATGTCTTTCATACTTGCAAGGTATACCCAACTTAGTCTGAGAAATATGTGCACTCCGTCTTTGATTCATTTAGAGGATGTTATTTTTCTCAGCTTTTGTTTCTTTGTAGTGTGTTAGAAATCCCGTACGTGTACTGACAAATGTAAGTCACCAGATGCAGCAATCAAGGTTGCTCTCCATGTCATTCCTCTCAAATTCTAATTCAGCTGACATTTCCTAAACATGTACAGGTTGCCTCAGTTTCTTTGATGCCTTTGCACCTCCTGTTGAGCAAAATGGACAGTAAAAAAGCACTGCAAAGCAGCAGCCTTGTGGTACCCAGAGAAGGTGCGTCATAATTCCTTCCCGTTCTGGGTATTTCCTGCAATAGGCAAAACAACCTATAAAGTCATGTGGATCTGGACAAGGGTATCAAGTTTGGTGGGGGTTTTTTTTTGGCAGTGATTTTTTTTCATGTGCAAAATGAAGAAGGGAGAGGGAAGAAACATGAATGGAGTAAAAACTGAGCAAACAGTGCAACTTCCTCTTCGACACAAAAATACAATGGAAAATCACAAACAGGATCAGCCATTGAAAACCTTACAAACTCAGAAAGAATTTTAGATGTGGAGGATTTCAGGAGCAGCCTTACCTAAAACACAACTAAAAAATACAAAAAAAATTCAACAAAATTACATACATTTGGTTCTGTTCCTTGACCTCTCCCCCTGCCCCCAATCACATTAAATCTATTGGCTCCTATTGCACTTATCCCAATACCTCCCTTAGTTTCACATTTGGCTTTTTCAAACAGTAGCACATTAAAAAAAAAAAAGAACATTGCATTGCTTTATGCAATCCTGCCTCCTAACCTTTCCCATCATTTAACCATGAACTACTTGGCTGCTTAATGAAAATATTATCCTTGAAAGGATTATATTTAAATGTCTTTTTTATTGTAATGTAACAAAAAGAAAGTACTTACAATGACCTCCAAGGAGATCTCAGCCTATTCAAATGCTAATTATGAATTCCTTCTACCATTTAGAGTTATCAGATCTTCAGGTCTGTCTCTATCTCTGTCTCTGTCCCTTTCCTTTTAAAATAATCATGAATATATGCAGCGCAATGTTTAACTATTGGGTCCTTGGTTGGTTCTTTTTCTGCAGATGGTCTATTACTCTTTCCCTTTATGACAAGGTTGATCTGCAAGAATCAGAAGAAAGCTTTTGACAGCATGAAAGCCTATTGCAGATTCCAGTTGGTCCTTTAGTTATACTCAGTTAGTATAACCAGAATAACTCCTTTAGTTATACTGGTTATATTCAGGGGTATCCATAGGGAGGAAAGTCAAAAAGTTGAGATGAAAGCTGCAGCCATGCCATAAATGTCCTGCTCTTTTAATGCACATATGTTTAAAAGGGGTCGGAGCTTCAATTGCATGATCAGAGCCACTATCCTGATGACTCCACTGCAACTGTCCTAGGTAAATTGGTCAAGGCTGACCAAAAAACACTAGGAATTTTACTTTTTTTATCTCTCTTCTTTTTTTTTTTTAAGTATTCCTTTTCTCTCAAGCAACACCCCAAAAGGATTAAGTATCTCTGCTAGAAGCCTGAAAGGGCCACTTGCTAATGGCTACTGAAATTAAGCCAAAGGTCACATGTAGCCTTAGGGAATAGGAGCAGAGTCTGGTGAAAAAAAGTTGGCAGAGCTGATACAATTGTACCTTGAAAAGTCCTTGAGCAATAAACAATAGGCACTGAAGTCTCATCTCTGCTTCTTTGTTTGCACAGGTAGAGAGAAGGTTTCAAAGAGATCAACCTTCGCTTATGTCAAAGAATCTGGTGGCATCACGCAGGACTCAGTCATTTTGTACTCCAAGAGAATAAAGTGATTAATTCAGTAGGCAGGACAGCTTTGGTTTCCACTTGCATCAAGCATCAACAAATGTTTCTTCAGTTTTGATTTTTGTCCACAGATGGTGGTGATGGGTGTTTAAATCTCCTATGGAGGCATCATTTGCTTCGATGCATCTTTTGGCTCAGTTCACAATTCACAAAATCATCCCAACTCTGCTAGGATCTCCCCATTTGATATCCAAGGATATGATGGAAGAATGCTGAAGATTTCCTATCAGTTCCCCTCCTTACTACAGGTGATGCTGTCCCCAAAATTAAAAAGACATTTCCTGTGGCAGAGGAAACATTAGACTTGTGGAAGGAAGTCACCATTCAGTTGTCCTATGCAGATATGGAAACTGAGAAAATGGAAAAGGTTTTCTTTGAAATCAGAGACTTGGTATTATTTCTGATTCTTGTTTTGTTTCATACCCTGAGATTATTTAGTGGGTTTCAGTGCCTGCAAACAATAGCAAACAGATATTGAAATCAAATGACTGAAAGCAAAGCATTATACATTGATTCAAGTCATCAGTCCTAAAGGTGGAAAACAAACCAGAGCGGACTAGGGAAGGAAGCAATAAACAGGTAGGACTCCTGCAGGAGTCCTGCAGATTTTACTCCGCTAGTCATTTCCAGCTATAGCGGGAGGTGCTCAATTCTGTTTCAAGGTCATTGTGCCAGTAAGTGAGCAAGAATACTCTGACTCTAACCCTATTTATCTACTTGTATTGGCATGCATTTAAACTGCTAGGTTGGCAGGAGCTGGCCAAGGATGAGATCTCACCTCATCACATGGCACTTCGATCTCAAACCTGGGCTGCCAGCTTTCCAGCCAATAAGCCCAGCATCTTAACCCCCGAACCACTGTGCCACAATAGATAGGTAAAGAAGACAGATTTTCCCTATCCAAAATAAAGTTTGCTTTTGTTCTTTTGATTTTTTTTTGAAAAAATATACTGTATGTTTATTGATTAGGATAGCTTCAGACTGACCAAGTTGATGACCATGCTTTGGGGAAGGGGAATCACTGGGAGAAGTTATGCCCAATATGCACCCATCCATCCAAGTCTCCAGGGTGCTTTATTTTAGGAATTAACAGCCAAACAAAGAACTAGTATACCTAGTTCCATTTGTCCACAGATAACTTCTTCATCCCACAAAGGCTCTAAACTAAATTATTTGACTTTGGAAATGTTAGCTTAGATGGCACAATTTCTTTATACCATTCTTGTCAATAATCCATGTATCAAAGATCATATGTTGCTATAATGGCACTTTTCTACCCAAATGTAATCTTGTCACATGAGAACAAAGTATAGCCTCTCGATCTTTCTACCTCCACCGGTTAAAAAGTCATAACTCTTTTAACATCTTTATCATTTTTGTATTTTCATAGAATACTTGCTTCTCACCTGGGGTGGAGGTGGGGGAGGAGCTGGTTTACGCTCAAGTTGAGAAGAAGGAGCTGAATTTATTCTCTGTAAGAGAAATACCAGATTATTTATGTTAAATTTTAACCAGCCATTTAGTATATGTTGAGTATATTATTGCTAAACTGACATTTGCAAATAACCAAGAGTCCTTGGTTGATTCAATAGTGTATAACTCTAACAAGTAAACAAAAAGAAATGTTGACATCAAATTACTCTTGCCTGCACCAGGCTTGTATAGAAACTTGAGGATTGTATTTGAAAATTGAACTAATAAAGAGTCATTTTGTGGGGTTGGATTTAGAATTTTATTTTATGGATAAAATAGAGAGCTTAAGTACCAATTTTGTTTCTTAATATTGCCCAGCTATCCTCCCCACCCCCAAACGAAAGAGGGCCAAGTATTTTGCTCCAGGACTTTCTGAATAGAATTTTGCAATTGCAACATTGATTCTGGAAGGACATTTTAAATCTCCAGTTAACCCTTGGTGCACTCCTGATCTAAAACTTGGGTTTGGTTGTACAAAAAAACCCAAAAACAACAGCATCAAGGAGTACAGATATATAACATTTCAAGAAATGAGCCAGCTTCTGCCTAATGCCCATGTTTCTAGCACCATTCTTGGATAATTTATTTGCAAGAAACTTTGTAATCCAAGAATATGTGTTTAAAGCAACTTAGCTGGTTACAAAGAGTGGAATTCACTGTTTGAAAGGCAATTATGATGAAGGGTTACAAATTTTGCACTTATATTGGATGGCTTCAGTTTTCTTATGAGAAGTTTATTTGAAAAAGGAACTTTCAAGGATAAAATCTAGAGAGTGTATATTTTTGGGGCCCTTTTTACATGAAGAAAGGGAGTATTTTAATAGTGGAACACGTTCCAACCTTTTTCCATTAAAACTAGAGTTTGGACAAAGCTTGCATGGGAATGCCATCACTCTGTTACTGTACAAAAGAACAAGAGCAGAATTGGAGGGGGGAGTTAAATGCATTATTAGTTTAGAATCTATGCATTGTCACAAGAGACCCAAGTTTAGACACCCTTCAATTTTATTGACCCTTATCTTGTGCCAATTTAGTGTTGACCATTAATTGACTAGATTCTTGTGTATAGGCTTGAATAAATCTTCTATGCTCCAAATTTATGAATGATCCTGTTTCTTTATGCCTGACATTAATCTCTTTTAACTGTGCCCCCCCTCACAAACTCTCTGCTCTTCTCCTACAGTTACTGTCATAGTTAAATTGTCCTAGGTAGTTGCAGATTCAAGAATAAGGTCATAATGCAATTCAATATATTAGTGACAATTCAACCTGCCTTTACAAAAGCATCAGACCTAGACCTGATATACAACATTCCAAAGGCTTTATGCCTTTCTTGGCATTAGGAAGAAAGGACTGAATTACTACACAAGACCTGGAGGGTCAGGCCCATTAAAACAAAATCCCCACCAATAACCCACCAGTTGAAGTTTTTCTCCCATTACAGTTCTTTGCCTTATTTTTCATCCAGTAGTCTGGAAAAATGAAAAGGTGGCTAGAAGGAGTTATTATCCCAAAGCTTCACCCTAGCATCCTGCTATAAAGGAACAAAATGAGTTTGAAGTGTGATGTTTAGGAAGCTGACATACCAGAGCTGGATATATGGTGGACTTTGCTGTTGGAACAGGAGGCGGAGGGATTCTTGGTTTCACAATGGGCTGAAAGGAAAGAAAATTGGAAGGTTTTTTGAGTTGCCTTTGCACACAATTGCCAAGATGCATTTTAAAAAGTGGAACAACATCTATTGTTCAACATCTATTGGAGATCACATTTCCTGTCAGCTTAAAATTTGAGTCTTCTATCTGCAACAAAAATTAATCCTTATTCCCTTTCCCCACCAAATGTGCAATTGTATGAACTCAAAATTCTCAGCATTCTCACAAAGCAAAAAATTTCCATGGTTCTTTGAGGAAAGCTCTAACAGAAAATTCTGAGTGCGACTTTGATTATCTGTGCTCCTGGCATCCTCCCAACAGGGTTGAATTATTGTCGTGCCTTCACATCTGGAATTTTTACTCCTACCCTGCCAGACTAATTACCTCATTTTGCCTTGATTGGATTTATAGTTACAGTTTTTGTTGACCATATTTTGGACTTGACTCTCTGCAGCCAAAGGCTGTTCCTGGGAGAGTTCTTTTCCAGGCAGAAGGTAACTAGGAGATTGGGGGCAAAGTTAGAGCTAATAAAGGTTATCTGACTGTGTTGCCTTTGTGCCATGCCCCGGGTCATCACACCTAGTGCCAATTTAGTGCTGACTGTAAGTTGACTAGATTCTTGTATATAGGCATGAGCAATAAATCAGCTTAATTGGAACTTAACCTATGGTCCTCTTTCTTCGCAGTGTGATAATGACTTAAGAAAACATCTTAGATAAGTTCCTCACTGTTTCACATGAAGATAAAATCAGGAAGGAGAACACACACTCAGACACACTCACATTCTATAGCCTTAACTTACAACACATGTCATTGGTTTCTAATTTGTTGGGCTGACAAGTCCTTCAGACTGATTTTCTATATATCACTCAATCTTTGCAACACTCTTCATGGTGTTTTTAAAGTATGGTGCTCAAAACTGGACCTAATATGTTCATCAAACAAGATTTAACCAGCCAGAATTCAATGGAACCATTTCATCTGGGCACGATGCTTCCATTAATACAGCCCAGGAAGGCCTTAAACTATTTTAGCCCCTGGACTGTCCTATTCTGTTTATCCTTGGCAGTGTTGTTACAACAAAAACTGGTCAAGAGATGTGTATTACTTGCCATGAAATCACCTAAATGCCCTCGGGCTACACATATCCCTTTGGGTATTGATATACTTTACTCATAATGATTGACTTGTCATTGGTTATTTTCTTGAAATTTGCCTAATTCAGAACAGAATTAGAATGTTATTGGATAATTGACATAATTCAACAATTTGCCTCTCCAATTGATTTGTTACCAGTTTATGAAAAGACCTCTGTTGGAAATGCACTGCAGAAAATGCTACATTAATGGACAGTTTGGGAAATTTAAGCATAATACTCCATATCAGTGTTTATAGATGAAGAACAGTTGATTTCTTGTCTTCAAAAATACTCATCCCATAAGATTTTCACTTTTCTATAGGCTACACAGAATGAGGCATGACACTCCAAAAAGAGGGGGAAATTGTCAGGGAACTAGTAGAATCAGAGGAAATATCTAACAGTATTCTGAAGTTGTTAGATCAAATGACCATTTATTTAGAAACTTACCATTCTGGCATTTTCATATGCGTGTCGTAAAGGTTCATCTGGGATTTTCTGTTAATAATGAAATAGTATCAATTTAATCAGTTGATTTTTCTAACAATGTGTGTGAACTCCCTAATTTTGTAGAACTCCCTTATGATAGAATCATGATGTTCGTATAACATTGCAAATTATGCAGGTTATCCCTACTCTATACAAGGATTTAGAGTGCAGAAAGGAAATAATAATTAAAATAATCAGAAACTGCTTATTATGTTTCAGACTATGATATGGATTTTTCAACTGTCAGGTTAAAAAGTGTGCAGATTATTTGTTTTTCATTTGCAACATTCTAGATCTTAAAATTGTTAAGTTTGAAAAAAAATCTTATATGCATATCAATTTTTCTAAAGTACAATTACATTCTCTCTATATCTGCTCATAAAGAAGTACATTGAGTACAATGGGTATTGCAGCCAAATGAACATTAATAAATTAGGGAGAATTTTTTCACATTTATTTAAAATCCTTCACATTTGTCAAGTAACTATATTCATATATTACAATAAGCTATCTTGTTCGAATCATAAAATATTGTATGAGCCACAATACTTAGTTTACATTAAACCATAAACCATGATTGATAAACTATAATATTCTGATTCATACAACATGCTATCCTGAAATAAAATAACACTTACTTGACTCAATGTAGCGTGTACATTCACACCACTGACAAAGCACAGCATATTTGATTTGATTTGTGAAATATCTGTATTTTGTTTGTTAGACTATTCAAGAATTGTTCCATTGAATTTTACTCACAACATGAACTTCTGGTGTATTTCCTTGGAGTGAAATTGGCAGGAGAAATCTAGAAGAATTTATCTAAAAGGAAGAAACAGCCAGACTTTTTGAGTATATTGGTTTTAAAGCCAATATCTTTAAATACTTAGCCAGATCAGGTGCACTTCCATACATATGTAATTTCATTAAGGTTAACCTTAATTATTTTGTGTTGCTTTTTTTACAAACACATTCTATTGAACTTATTGTGCAAACAATAGGTTCAGTATTTATAGCAATTGTGTTATTTTTGTTTTTGAAAACAAGAAAGAGTTGTGTTGCATCTTGAAAGATAACAGATTGATTGACGTTATCTTACAATCAAAGCAATAAAAGCAATAACATGTTTCTCTCTATATATAACGAATAAAAAGGCAAGTATTTTGTCTGTGTGTTGATGAAAAGCACCCACATTTAGCAGTTTCAAAATCATTGTGCATGGGGTAAAGAGCCTCTAAATCCACCCAGGTACCCCAATTCCTTAAATTGCCACTGGGGAACCATTCTTCTTATGACTTATTATGAAGCCAATGGATAAAGCATTTTATAAAATTTAAGTGTTCTACTCTGTCCAGGCAGCCCATTTGACCACTCACCTCTGGATCATTGAACACTGGACCAAGATGCTGTTTCCTCTTTTGATCTGTACCAGAGAAAGGATTTTTGGCTACAGGTGCACTTTTGTGAATGCTGCCATAAAATAATAGAATATTATAGTTAGGATAGGATTCTGAACCCAACACCAAAGTCAAGGTAACACTAGAAATACAGTAAATGTCTCCCTCCCTTCCTTCCTTCCTTCCTTCCTTCCTTCCTTCCTTCCTTCCTTCCTTCCTTCCTCCCTCCTCCCTCCCTCCCTCCCTCCCTCCCCCATTCCTTCCTTCCTCCCTCTCTCCCTTTCTTTCCTTCCTTCTTTAATTCCTTCCTCATTCCCTTCCTCCTCCACTCCTCCCTCCCTCCGTTTCTTTCCTTCCTTCTTTAATTCCTTCCTCCTTCCTTTCCTCCTCCACTCCTCCCTCCCTCCCTCTCCTTCCTTCCTTCCTTCCTTCCTTTCTTCCTTCCTGTTAAGATAACTAGTTACCTGATATCCTAGAACTTATTTTATACATACACTATAATTCAGTTCATACTATAATTCAGTCTCGTAACTTCATGAGAGATTTCCTGAACTGAATATCCAGTTTTATACAGCTTTTTCCAAGTCAGTATACATTCAGCCTCTCCATTAATTCAGGAAAACCCATTACTGCTGTTTTATGGGACTCAGCAAACTCCCCACACTTAAAAGAAGCTTGGCTGACGACATTCAAAAGCTTCACCTGTCCCCTTGTTTCTTCTTTAAAATGTAGCAGCGGAAGAGAACTGCAAGGAAAATGGCTGTGGCTACTGAGACTAGTACCACAGTTACAACAATGATGATTATATCTAAAAGATAAAGAGAAAAGGCTATGAATAGATTTGATTAAATCACAGTGGAAACATAGAGACAATCCATTGAAAATTATATTGCTCCAAGTCCTGGCATTTCTCACCCATGCAATAAGAGTTTTTCCTAAGAGCCACTGTTGAGAATTGTCTAGAATGTATTTATTTATTCAATTATTTTAATTTTAGTGCTACACAACTCTGAACCAACTCTGGGCATCAAATTTAGCCCAAGAAAACAAGTAATATGAAATAAACCTCATTTCATGAATGACTTCAATTAATCATCATCCTTTAAAATTAATCTAACTCAACTACTTTAGATACATTGGGATTACAGTTTCCTTATTGATTAATAATTCTGGTTCAAAGAAGATCTAACTGACTTCCCAAGATAGTCTTGTAAATGGATGTAGCAGCATAATTAAGAAAGCAAACTATCATCTGTTAAATCTATACCTGGATTTTCACTATTAGGTAGCTTAAAATTAATCACAATCTTGCTATCCTTGTTGAATGAATTACAGAAAAGATTAAACTTATTTTTCCCTTCTTTTCATTTCATGTGCACAATGAGATTAAAAATAGAACTTCCAATTAAAGTATAGTTTGCTAATAGTTAACAATATTCAGTTGCTAGATAATAATACAAGGAGATATCAAACCCTATTTCCAATAAGGATTGTTTAATTTGTCTAAAAGTCAAATAAATCCCCATTTCCATGCAATAATTTAGTCCAAAATTCATGTGGATGTTTTCTAATATATGAACTGAGGCTAAACCATTTTAGAGATAATTCTTTATTACTTACAATATGGAACTAATGAAAATTACTTAAGTGATAACTATCAAAAATCAGAAAAAGGAATACAAGGGTATTGCTTTGGATAAAGAAATGACAAATACAATTATTTTTATAATAAAATGGAATAACTCATAGAATAACTGATTTATCATTTATGGAAAGGTCATAATGGCATTTAACAGATTTAACAGATTAACAGAGTTGGAAGGGACCTTGCAGGTCACCTAGTCCAAACCCACCGCCCATGCAGGAGACCCTACACCATTTCTGACAGATGGCCGTCCAGTCTCTTCTTGAAAGCCTCCAGTGATGAAGGTCCCACAACTTCTGAAGGCAAGCTGTTCCATTGGTTGATTATTTTCACTGTATAAAATTCCTCTTTATTTTAGGTTGAATCTCTCCTTGGTCAGTTTCCATCCATTATTCCTTGTCTGGCCTTAAGGTGCTTTGAAAAAACAGGTTGACCCCCTCCTCTTTGTGGCAGCCCCTCAAATATTGGAACACTGCTATCAGGTCTCCCCTGGTCCTTCTTTTCACTAGACTAGCCATGCCCAGTTCCTGTACCCATTCTTCACATGTTTTAATCTCCAGTCCCCTAACCATCTTTGTTGCTCTTCTCTGCACTCTTTCTAGAATCTCAACATCCTTTTTTACAGTGTGATGACCAAAACTGGAAGAATTATTTTAGGTGTGGTCTTATTAGGCATATCACTAATCTTCATAAAAATAATAAATAGATCCTTAAAATGTAACGATCGGATGGATTTTCTCCCTATATATTTTATCCACAATAAAAGATGTTCAGGAGATGAGAGAAGAGGGATATCCATTAGAGCAGAGGTACCCAACTTCCAGTCTGCAGACTAGTACTGGTCCGTGGCTCATTGGGAATTAGACCACACAAGTGGTGGGTAAACACACAAAGCTGCACAAGCAGCGGGTCCTTCCGCAAAACCATCCCCTTCCCCTCCCCCATTCTGTTGCCACTGCTGCCAGTCCACAGAGCCAGGAAAGTTGAGGATTGCTACATTGAGGGATGCCCACAGGTGGTAGTGAAAAATATAAATTGGTGGTTATGATGGTAAGATTGAAGCTCCGCCCACTTGTATCGATGTTATGGTGCCCATGAAAGGAGGCCAAGCTTCAATTACACTCCTGCAGGTACTAATATGCCTGTTTTTAAAAACATATCCTACCTCTGACCTATTTATTGGTACCAGCTAAAAAGAGTTCCATCCATCGTTTCCTGTTTTCTGATGAAGATGTCATACTGTGGTGCATTTGCTATAAAATATACTGAGAAAAGAAAGACCTCCCAAACGTCCAGTATTAGCATTTGCAGGTGGAGTAGCAAATGTCATTAGGGCAATCCACTCACCCCAGGGATTATGTCTCCAGAACCTATCTAATCACTTTCTGCGGGGAAGCTGTGGGAGACAAGTGGCCCCCTGAATTAACTCACATTTATTTCCTGAGGTGTCACAGTGAGGCGGTGTTGATCCTTCTTTACATTGGCACTGCAGTTCATGGTCACATACCTAGGATAGCAAAGACCAGTATTAATCTTTGAAACAAATACAAGGGCCAAAAAAGCAGTCAACATTTCTCTTGCATTTTTATGAAGCCCAAAGAAGGCAGAAAGTACTGAACCATAAAACTGAACCAAATTAGGCAGACAAAAAGATGGAAATCCATTTAAATCCCACACAGAAAAATAAATTAAGGGTTTCTACCAAAGCTTTTAGGATTGTTTAAATAAGTACCAAAGGCTATCTAAATAGCTGGTCACTATTTTTTTAATCTAGTGGTCCACTGCGTTATTAGACTAAGTCTAACAACAGTACAGTGTGGACAAAGTGTTTCTTTTTTTGATATTATGAGAGTTGTGGTCAAAGCATTTCTATAGCAGGATGAAAAGGACTAAATCAAGCTTTGAGATTTCTTGTGGTGGACAACGATATCAGGATAATATTAATTTAGAGCAAATAGCAAATAGTTTTCAACCGTCCCTCTCCCTCTCTCTCTTTCTCCCTCCCTGCCTCCCTTCTTTCCATCCATCCATCCATCCATCCATCAAGATCCATCCATCAAGTTTGTTTACTGCCCCATTCCAGTCAGACTCTATCAAAGTGCACCAAAATTAAAATAGCACACTGATGTTAATTCAAAAATGACAAGGTAGAACAACATAATTCAATACTAAATTTTAATTTTGGGATTGGTTGACTCCACCTTTAGTCCTCAAAAACCGGAAGTGCCAGATCTTCATAACTTCTTATAGGCCATGGGAGAGGGGGCATTCTCATTTGATTTATTAGTATTTGACTATTCTAACATGACACCAGGTTTTGATCTAATTCCATTGCTACCTGTTAATTTTAAAGCTCAATTTAATGTAATTTAGACTTTAAAGCCATAAACTATTCTGGGCTTGGTAAATACAGAGGTTCATGTCTTTCTAAGTTCTACTCACACTTAGAAAAAAAACCTGAAATATTTTTAACATCAAGGATTCTGGAAAGCACTTTTTGGGGGGTAGGTGGTTGGTGTTTATTTGTTTAATAACATAGAACAAAGAAAAAAGAAAATAATAAAAGGGAAATTATGTAAATTATGCATGTATGAATACGCATAAAGTTTTACCTAACCGTCAACTTGCTCTCTGCCCAACAAAACCATTTTTCATTTAGTTCCATTTCTGCCTTAAATGAAAATTATTTTCATGATGGATTTTACTTTCAAAGTTACTATATAGATGTTAGTTGTAAAATTATAATCATAATAATACTCATTTTCTTTTTTAGTGCAGCAAAACCTATTTAGATATAGATGTCAATATCACCATAAGAACATTTACAAACACACTCTAATGAATATTTTGCAGATGCTTCAGACTTGCAGAGAATACTGTGGGGAAAAATGTGAAATCCCCAAGTATATGTGCTGAACACATTCCAGATAGTTCTCAACTTATGTCCACAATTCAGCCCAGCATTTCTGTTGTTAAGCGAAATGTTTGTTAAGTAAGTTTTGCCCCATTTCACAACTTTTCTTGCCACTGTTGTTAAGTGAATCACTGAAAGCGTTAAGTTAGTAACACGGTTGTTAAGTGAATTGGCTTCCCCACTGACTTTGTCAGAAGGGTGCAGAAGGTAGTCACATGACCCCAGGACACTGCAACGGTCATAAATATGAACCAATTGCCAAGCATCTGAATTTTAATCACATGACCCCAGGGATGGTGTAACAGTCGTAAGTGTGAACAACAGTCATAAGTTACTTTTTTCAAACCCGTTGTAGTTTTGAACGGTCACTAAATGAACTGTTGTAAATTGAGGATTACCTGTAAGCTTTATATAGGCCAAGCCCGAAGCAGAACAGTCTTAAAGCCCATTGAAGGGCATAGAGAATACTTTAACCAGAATATAGAATACAAAATGCTTACAGAGTATCCGATGCATTTGTGTGAACAGTTGGTCGATCTGTAGGCAGCTTCTATCTCAACACACTGCCCGTTGTTGCAGACCTAAAAGTCAAAGGAAGAGATTATAAATAGAATAAGACAACAGTTTCCCACACAACTAAACTCTGTTATTCTCTAGAACAAAACCAGGATATTCAATAAATTTCCTCCAAGTTCTATATTGTGTATAAAGACAGGGATGTGTGTTTGTGTGTGTGCAATTCCTGATCCTTTAAGATAAGCTTTAAGATTGCTTCAGCACTTCTAAATGGCTTCACTGAATTGATATCCTTTAGGTCACAGCCAGTTCTACATCTGATTTTTTTCAGCTCTCTCCCACCTGCCCTATGGGGATACCTACAAGTTAAGAGAAAGGACTGTCCCTTGACGTTCTGTCCAGAAATTGATGCCAGGGAGAAGCACAAGGCTCTGAAAAGGCCGGGCATTTTGTTCTTAGAAGGAAGAAACACCCGGGACATTCACCTGAAAAACCTTGGTGGTGCAGTGATTAGAATGCAGTATTGCAAGCTAACTCCGCCTATAGCCTGGAATTAGATCCTGATGGGACTCAAGATTAACTCAATCTCGCATTCTTCCAAGGTCAGTAAAATGCAGAGCCAGATTGTTGGGGCCAATATGCTGACATTCTAAACTGCCCAGAAAGTGCTTAAAGCACTATGGGGCGATATATAAGTCTACGTGCTATTTCTCTTGCTGATTTGTTGTGGTTGTTGCCTGCAGGAAAAACAAAACAATATAAACAAGAAGAAGGCTAGATGGATTTTCTTCTACATAGATTAACTGTAGTATGCAAAATGTAAATCAGCTTTCACCAAGATCGATCGCTAAATTATTTCGCTGATTACCCCTTACAGCATACAGTTGAGATGTAATCTTTTACTAACCATTCCTTCTCCGCATTTTGTTCCAGGATGAACCAATCCAACATCTTCTGCATCTTTGGATGGAAAACTGGCTCTACATGATAGAAATTCCAGCAGGTTTCCATCTGAGGGCATCTTTGAACCACCTGTGCAATATAGCCTGCCACATTTTACCGCACTGAAAAGAAAATAAACAATTCGTTTTAAAGAAAAAGAAAGGATTAATGTCCCTTTGCTCATTTGCAAACATAAAATGTTCTTGGATTAACGTGATTTTAAAGTAGAGCTGGACAATCAGAGGTTTGCTCAGCCTCAAAATGAACTTGATTGCATTTAAAAGATAAGTAAAAAAAAAAAATCTCAAGAAGTGTTTCTAGGTTTGTTTGTTTGGGGGGAGGATAGAGAAACACAGTTTTTGTATCTCTAATGGTTTCCCTGTTTTTGAAGGAGAAGGTAGTTTGAGTCACAATTCTTATCTTTAGAGCAGATAATGTACAGTACCTGTTATCCACCTGGAAAACTCCTAAAGCAGGCTTGATTTTTCCAGACCTCTAGCCTTAAAATAATCTCTGATTAGTGGATGACAGAAGATGATGTGAGTTGAAATCTAAAGGTTGGGGCAGCGGCATTAAATATCAGAGGGAGAAATTGCCCTGAAAAATGGCCATGATTCCATTTCAATTTAAGAAAAATAAGAAAAAGGGAAATTAAAGATTGAAATAAGGACTGCCCTTGTTTTAGTAGGAAAAAAATGGTATGGGGTCTAAACTGTCTAAAAAGCAGAATCTCACATCACTAAAAGATATTGTGGCTTATTGTTTGTTTTGGGTTCAATCTGTGGTGCAAATCTAGCCATTGTGGGTTTTTAAATTGTGTTTATATACTAAGTGCAATTCAGAAACTCAGCCAACCAGGGCTTATTCAAAAAACATTGCAAACAAGCTACTGCTGGGTGATGTCAGCCGGAGAGAAAGGCTGATTGTGCGGTAGTCCTTGACGTAGGACCACAACTGGGTCCAGAATTTCCATTGCTAAACAAAGCAGCTCTTAAGTGAGTTGCACCCAATTTTATGAATCTATCTGCCATGGTTGCTAAATGAATTCACCATTGTTAAATAAATCCAATTTCCTCCATTGACTTTGATTGTTGGAAGATGGCTGAGAAGATGGAAAATGGTGGTTATGTGATCCTGGGACACTGCAACCATGGAAAATACATGCTGATTACCAAACACCAGAATTTGACCACATGACTATAGGGATGTTAGAAGCAGGGGTGGGATTCTACCGGTTCGGACCAGTTCGGGTGAACTGGGTGTTAAATTTGTATCTGGTTTGCTGAACCAGTTTATGAACTGACCAGCTGGCCCTGCCCCACCTCTCGTCCCCGGAGTCTCCATGTGGCCCATTTTCAATGCAGGTAAGTCCAGGGTCCGTGTGGAGCCTCTGGAGGGAGAAAAATGGGCCTTCCGGAAGTACCAAAATTCATGAAATACACCTGTTTCCAGCTTCCAAAGGGTCTCCATATCCCAAGGGAGGCTGTTTTCACCCTTCCAGAGGCCAGAGGGAAGCTTCCAGACCCTCGGGGAGGCAAAAAAAATGGCTCTCCCAGAAGTACTGGAAGTCATGAAATGAGCCTGTTTCCGGCTTCCGAAGGGCCTCCAGAGCCTGTGGGAGGCCGTTTTCATCCTCCCAGAGGCCTGAGGGAGGCCTCCAGTCCCTTGGGAAGGTTAAAAACAGCCCTACCAGAAGTACTGGTAGGCCATGTTCACCACGGCTATGCCTACCCAACAACTGGACAGCACCCAGTTGGTTAGAACCCACTGTAAGTCACTTTCAGTGTTGTAATTGTGAATGGTTGCTGAATTGAAAACAAAAAACACTGTTTTTAAAATACAAATCGATTTGACGGTGCTTATGTACTAAACGTTGTTCTAATACATATTTCACATTCCTGGTTATTTCTCATATTTTAACCTCTTTAAACTATTTCTTCCTTATTTATTTTCTTGCTGATTTCTATCATTTATCCATTTCTACCAGTTTTCCCAGACTGTATAATACCTTTTTTTAAATACCTTCCTTTTTTTTAAATTTTAGAGTAAGTTTATCCATTTCAGCACAATCGTAGATTTTTTGGATTATTAAACTCTCTGTTGGCATGAGGTCTCCTTTCCAACACTGTGCGAGTGCTAGTCTCGCTGCAATGATTATATGCAAAATTAAATATTTTATCTCTTTTGTGTAGTCTCGTTTTATTATCCCCAGTAAAAAAAAAAAATCTGTTTTAAGTTCTATTTGAAAGGTGGTAATTTCTTTTATCCATGTTTGTATTTTTATCCAATATTTCTTAATTTTGTGGCAGAGCCACCATACGTGGAAGAAGGTGCCCTGTGTCTGCTTGCATTTCCAGAAGATTGGGGTACATATTGGGGTACATATTGGCTAATCTCAAAGGGGCCAGATACCACTGATAACACATTTTATATTGATTCTCTTTATATACCGCCGATTTCATTATCATATAATTCTTTTCTCATATTCTTTCCCAATCCTCCAAATCAATGTTGTGTCCCACATTTCTTGCCCATGCTATCATCAAGCCCTTTCCTAATTCCTCTGCCATCTCAAACTCTAATAAGTAATTATACATTTTTGAAATTGATTTTGTATCCTCTAATAATTTATCAAATTGATTTGGCTAAAGGGTACTTTAAAAGCTCTCATGGCCTCTTTTTATATCCCGCTTTTGCTCCATCTTGTAACTCAAAAAAAAAAAAAATTAGCCATTCAGAAATTGACTCACATTTCTGTTGATTTTAGTGAGGAGATAGAAAGTATTTCTTACATTACCCTTACATGATATATCATCATCTTAGTAAATGAGGACCTAGATTGTTGGGGGCAATATGCTGCCTCTGTCAATCGCTTAGAGAGGGCTGTGAAGCACTGTGAAGCGGTATATAAGTCTAAGTGCTAGAGCTAGAGTAGGAAATAATTTAGACCGCTTACTTTGGTTTACATGAAATGCTTATACCATTTGCATTTTTGCAGTGGCCATAATAATTCCCTTGCTGGTTTTTCTTAAAACATGAATCTGCAGCCACTTTCCCACCTGTAAGAGAGAGTGAGGAAGAAGCATAAATACTTGAGTGGGTAACATGCCAGGATGAAGAATGGCTTAAGACATCTCAGAGGAGTTCCAAATAATTTAGCTAATGTCCACTTCTTTGTAACCGATTATTTTGTAACCCATTACTTATCTCATCCTCATTATGAAGCATTCACTACCTCATACAGTGTTTCTATAAACTTGGTTATTCCATTTTATAAACACAACTCTTATCCAACTTGCAGAAGACTACCTGGTAAATCAACGTCGAGAAATCTGAATCCAGATTCCTTCTACTATATCCCCCCCCCTTTTTTTTAAAACTTCATCACACTCATAGATATATTTCTGTGCTGGAACGTAGTGAAGAGGTGGAATCCCAGGAGGCAAGGCAGGGTGGGGTGAGTTCCAGAGAAGTAAGAGGGAGGTAGGCAACTCTGCCTGGATATCATGTGTGAGAGAAAGATGGTGGAGACACCTCCTCCCAAAGAGTATATTGTAGATTGAGTTAGCGAAGACCTTAGTCTGACAGGATTTTGTCCATAATATGAAACACTAAAGAACTCAGCTTATAAGAATCATCATGTATCATTCTTAGTTTGACACGTGTCAATCCCTGGGCATAAGCCTTTTTGAATATAGCTAGATTACTTGCAAAACAATGAAATATTACCATTCTTTGGAACATTACATAATTTCATGCGATTTACTGACCAAAATAAAGATTTCTTTGTTTGAACTGAATGTTTCCATTTTGAAAGCAATGGAAATAAAAGAGTAAGGTTCCATTTATGGTCTAAATAAATGGACTGCACTGGTAAGACCACACTTGGAATACTAGATCCAGTTTTCATCAACGTGATAGAAAAAAAAGTTGTTGAAACCATAGAAAAAAGTGCAGAGAAGATCAGCAAAAATGATAAGAGGTCTGGAGGCTTAATTATACAATGAAGGGCGGTGGGAACTAGATATGAAGAATTAGGGGTGACATGATAGCAATCTTCCAATATTTGAGGGGCTGTCATAGACAAGATACCTGTGGGCAAGACAAGAAGTAATGGATGGAACCTTATCAAGAGATCCAACCTAGCATTAAGGAGAAATTTCCTGACAGTGGGAAGAATTAACCCCTGGAATAGCCTCCCTCCAAAAGTTTGTAGGTGCTCAATCACTGGAGGTTTTCAAGATGAGATCAGACAACTCTTTGTCCAGAATGATATAGGGTCTTCAAGTTGATCAGAGGGTTGGACTAGAAGACCTCCAAGGTCTCTTCCAATTCTGTTCTATGTTCTACAAGAGAGTGACAAGAACCACATCCCTCAACACCTGTTTCTTTTATTATTATGCCAAAGGTAAAGAAAAGTTCAGTCACCAAGTATAAATATTCTTAGCAGACAGTCCCATTTTCAATTTCCATTGTCTCTAATTCAGAACAATGAAAAGGGATGGGTCAATCAGTGGCCCTAGTTAAGTCTTTGAAGAACAAGCTAAATGGATAAAATTCTAAGCATATGACAGTTGGTGTTATTGTTTGTGCTTCTCCAGTCGTATTGGCTTGCTTCACAACACCCATTGATTTAAGACAAAGAGTATTGCAGAATAGTTTTGAGCTATTGCTACAATATACAAAAAATAACAATCTATTTATGGTGTGTATGCATGTGCGTGTGTGTGTGCACGCGTGCACACACACACACACAGATCTTTCTTTTCAGATTTTTGGTCTACAGTTGCTATCATCTTCAACCATTAGGCCAGGTTCTCAGGTGACATTTGGAGGTTTAAAGCAAAAGATCTGGAGGGTTGAGCATTAAAACCTCCAAAGAAAGACTTTCATCTTGAAAGATTATGAACAAAACACAAATAGAACAGAAATGAAAAGCTTTGTTATGTATAGTAAGGAGAAAATGTCTTTGATCAATACAAAGGATTGTCTTAGGATTTTTTGGTTGTTGTTGTTTTGCAATAGCCCTATTCTAAAATCCTAAGGTTGACTTACCTGGCCCCCAGAGAGCAATACATTGGTCTGCCAAGGTAGGACACTTCCCCATGTAGCAGTAACCTTCGTTGTTTTGGCATGGGTGTCCATTAATGTGGAAGCGATCCTTGGGACACTCAGCAGATTGGCCAGTGCATAGTTCAGGCA